CGGCACAGCTGCAGCGGCACGGGCGCGAGTACCTACCACCAAACCCGCGTTGAAAGCGCCGGCCACGTCCAAAGCAACTACGGTGGATGCTACTAGGAAACCTACAGCGCTCACTAGACCCGTCCCAGCTGGCACCAAACCCTTCTCGGTTGCGTCACAGCCTCGCCGCCCAGCTACTTCGGCGTCGACCTACCATGCTATCACATCAAGCTCTATCGTGGCTGCTCGCAGACCGGGCACGAGCTTGCGGGTTGCTCCTGGTCGTCGTGTATCGACTAAAGCCAAGGCGCCAGCTCAGAATGATGTGGTGCTCAACTTTGAGGCCACAACGTTCGATGGCGGTATTTCGGACGACGACTTTAGGTTTGATGTTTGAATCGGTGGGGGCATGTGTGTGGGGTGGGCATTTATACGACTAAGTTATATCGTATCTTGATTTGTATCAGCTTCATTGAATATCTCATTTTGGATCTTCCAGAGCAGTTTTGTAATTTACAACTTCGATCTCTTCCTGTTTGAAACAGTGATGAATTTTACCAAGTTCGCCACTTCTGCGGCTGCGCCCCATGACTCCTGATAACCGGTACCACTGACAGGTTTTATCAATTCCACTTCAACAATAAACTCGCATTGTCACTCACCCAAAGCCGTAGGCGTGCACCACCTGCAGCGCACTCTTCTCGACGGGCTTGGTCTCGAATCGAGATACTAGTTCCCCCAACAAGGGCACTGGTATAATCTCAACCTCGACCCTTGGCCCACCTTCCCGCGCCGGTCTCAGGCCAACATTGTGACTAAGAATTCTGACATTCTCTTTGTCGAGATGTTTAGGCTCAATGGTGGTACACCGCGCGAATATCTCTTGTGCAGTCTGCTCGCTGTGAGATGTGTCCCAGTTGTTACGCTGGAACGTCCCTCCAAGCAGCACTGTACCGTCAGCTCCAGGACGGGGCATTATGTACAGTCCGCCACCATTTGCGTACGCTGCAAATATATCCTGTCAACACCCAAAGCGCGGGATTTGATCCATAGGTAAGCATACTTGTTGTGTCATGTATACAATCGGTGCACTGTGGCGCTTGCACCAATATTGTTTGCCCGCGGATGGGATACACCTTGGTGTCCTGGACTCCAAGCAGGGATTTCGCACCTGTGGAATATGCACATGTCAATTCTCGGCGGTAGCAGACCCTGGCAGGTTACGAACCCAACCCCAATGCATTGACCACTATCCCAGTGCGCCCTGCGAGATCCGCCACGTCCTCTATGCTCCTGAGGCGTTTGCGAACAAATTTCACACCGCGGGAGTCTAGCTGGGACTTGAGGAACGGTAAGTAGCGCAATGGGGTGACTGTAAGCGTTGTGTATGCTATCCCGGCTTTGTATGGAGCGGGGACCTCTTCGCGCGAGAGGATTCTGAACTGTACAGGACGACATCATCAATCAGCCAGAGTTTCCGGGATATGCGAACTTTCAATGCGGCTCACATCGCGCGGGAAGCCCTCTAGCTCTTTATACCACACATCGGCAAAGTCATTTTCGACCAAGGAGAAGGTTCGCGTTGGGGTGACCTCCAGCATATGTCAGCCCGCGAATACGCATGGTCTCAAACCTCACTTTCAACAGTTCGGGATGTGCCGGTATCATGTCCCAGAACTTCTTGCTGAGTTTTCTGTCAATTTCCGGTGAAAGCAAGCTTATCAGCGTACTTACTATGTCTGTATTTCCCACTGTTTGATTCGTGGGTCTTCTCCGCCCATGGCCATTGGCGACCAATTTGCTCCAGCCCACGGACTTGCCCACCCTTGTGAGTCCAGGTCCTCTGGCATGTCGCGAGAAACGAGTGTGACGTCATAATCGTTCAAGGAGTCGGATACGAGAGTGTATGCGATGGTCAGGCCAATCACGCCTGCACCCATGATCACAATTTTCTGGGGCACCATCATGGGGCGAGAGAACACCTTGTTGGCCAACTGTTGAGGCTTTTAAAGAAAGATAGTTATCCCGCGGAAAGGAAATCAGTCCCTAGGTGTCGCGTAGTCCTGCGGTAAGCGCGCCCCTACTTCGGCAGACGCAAACACTGACATAAGCAATTCGGATCCCGGAGGTTTAATATCTCTGAATATTTCCTCCTGAGCGCAACTTCTGCAGGCGACCAATTCTACCTCGGCAAAGTCATCCGGCACAGTGCACAGGTGTGCTCTGAGTTTTTTTATGGCGAAAGGTTGGGAGCTTGCTGAGACGGCGGAGTACTGGTGAGCTTGTGAGCACTCGGATGCTCAATGTTTAGCCCGAGAGCATTTGGGGAGCTCGGATAAAAGACAGTGGATAGATTAGTATATGATATTGTGGGGTAAAAAAAATCGGAGTGATTGAGGATGAATTGAGGACGAGAGGTAGATTCGGCGTGGGGGATACACCAGACTCGGAAGTGACTAGCCGCATCGAGTTGCAGCGACTCCGATCGTCTCTGCTCGTCGTCTTGCCTGGCTCTCTTGTCGATATGTATGTGTGACCAGTACTCTAAGGGAGCATATATACACCACTAAATGAGTCTTTTATGCATGGACTGCCATAGCAAATGGTGAAACGAGGAGATGAAGCAAGGACGCAACACGATTATGAGCGTGCACATGACTTGCTTACATCAGTATTTTGATCTGCCTTTGAAATGCCGAGCTTACCAACAGACTACAGACGAGGTACGAGTCAGTTGTAGTATGTATAGACCAAGTAGGTGTCGCAGCAATGAGATAAGACAAGACCTGACAAGACCAGCAAGGCAAATACCCTAGCACGGGCCGCCTGAGCCGTCTTCCAACGGTTCGCTGGTGTAAATGGTTATCACGTCAGTCTAACAGGTCTTTCTGGTTTATCCTTGAAGCTGCTCACTGAAGGTACTCGGATCGATCCCGGGGCGAATCATTCTTTTATTGCGCTGTGGATGGATGCAGAGTATCTCTTGAATGAGCAATTTAGTTTTATTAGCATTTTTGTGGCAAGTCTTGTTAAGCACCGTCTCTATGATCATATACACAAAGCTCTATACAAAGTTTGTTCCTGAATCTTGTAGGATTATAGCTGTTTCTATATATCTATGTTGTGCCGCAGGTCTTTGAACTGATTCCGAGCTTTCTACCTTCAGGCTTCAGCACTCCCCTCGCTGTATCTCGCTCAGTCCTCATCCAAATTCTACAATTATTATTGTGTTCTGCTCCCAAGGTATGCCCCCCAGAGGCCTGGATCAAGATTTACTGCTATATTGAGTTCGCGATTGGTCGGGAGAAGCTGGGGGTGGAGGTACTCGGATCGATCCCGGGGCAAATCATTCTTTTATTGTGCTGTGGAAGGATGCGGAGTACAGCCGTTTCCGTAATTCTTGGACGCGTGATTCGTGGTGGTTCGAAATTATCAAAAATTAGGAGAAATTATCGAAACTCAGAAAACTCATAACTCCTTCATCCATCACTATAAACACTCCATGCCATGCTCAAAGTCTCCGCATTAGCATGCCTTACCAACGTATGAGTGCCTATCGAAAGCAGTGGGCCCCATATGTGCTGTTGGAGGAAGGATAGGACAAATGACCAATGTCGAAGGCACAACCTTTTCGCCTGTACTAACCCCCATGGTGTGCCCTCCGTTTCTACTCCACCAACGCTAGCGCTCAACTAACGACCCAACATGAATTTAGCCGTGCCTGCGAGACGCGCGTGTGTGCATTCACGGGTGCGCGACGTGACACTCGTTCTCAAGAAACATCAATAGGGAGTACTACGCGCAAAACATAAAGGGGTAGGGTGTGCTGTGACGCGTGCGCTTCTGCGAGTGTAAGGTCGGGCGCTGATTTGGTGCGGAGGGCAGGTGGACGGGAACAAAAGCGGGCTGGACTAGGCGGCGGGGAAGGTGATGCCGAAGTAGCTCGCGTGCACAGCGCCGTGCTACAGACATACTGTAGATCCCATGTGTTAATGTTAAGATAGAGCGGATATCAACATGAGAACAGATAGCCATTATGAACGGGCAAAGTTAAGAATGTTGGGGGAAAGAGTCGTACATGACTTGAAGTTTGACGCGGAGACAGACAGGTTGAATTGATGGTTGTACGGGGGAGAGTCCCTGCGAGAGGCGCTGTGGGTAAATCGGAATGTGGAACGTATGTAGTGGGGATAGAGTGTGCGCGAGGGTAAATATCGTGAAATAGGGATGAGCTCGTCCGCGATCTCCCTGGTTAGCAAGCGCGAACGGCCTCTATCATGGCTATATGAAACGTACGATTCACGCAGCCTTCTGTGTTGTATATCCCTCCCATCGATCTATGCTCTGCTCAGAAACACCCAATGCCTCGGAAATTGCATGTTTGTCCCATCCTTCTCTGACAGTACGTATAGCGCCCGCCGCTGTCGATCGGCACTGGTACATTGGTAAAGCATGCTAATGCGGAGATTTTGAGCGTGGTATGGAGTGTTTATAGTGCTGGATGAAGGAGTTGTAAGTTTTCTGAGTTACAATAATTTCTCGTGATTTTCGATAATTTCGAACCGCCACAAATCACGCGTCCAAGAATTACGGAAACGGCTGCTTGAATGAGCAATTTAGTTTTATTAGCATTTTTGAAGTTTTTCTTATTAAGCATTGTCTTTATGATCATACCATATGCGCAAAGCTCTGTACAAAGTTTGTTGTTGAATCAGGTTGTAGGATTAATCCGCAGACATGGTGACCAATTACAACTTGTCCCATACCCAGCTGTGCATTGGCCGTGCAGTTGAATCAGTTTGTAAGATTAATCATGGGACTGGTTGACAGGATAATCAATTACACCGGAAGACCATAAATTAAAATGCAGGTTCCCTCCGAGAATTGTGGCTGAGCAGGGAACACGCTACATGTGATCGTACGCATGGTGAGAATCAACCGTGCACGAAACTGTCAACCAAGTTCTTCTCACCCGCCGGCAACATTTCTTCAAGCACACTTTGGTTCTCTCGCGAACCCACTCTGGTCTCTCAGGCCTTCGCCGACAACCATGTCTACCTGGGGTATAGGAGCCAATGATGTCTCTCAACAAACACAGGCGCTCAAGGATGCTGCATCCAGCAAAGGTACGTCAACCGATCCCAATGTTTGGGGATGTACTCAACACTACACGATTACCAGAATCCGAGAATGCAGACCTTCGCAGCACGCTCATGAAGCGGGATGCAGAACTAGGCGAATTGAAAGCAACTTGGAACGAGGCTCTTCGAAAGGTGCGCAATGTGCAACAATGTTGCGCGCGCAGTACTTAATCATCAATCGTTAGCTCTCGCACGAAGCAGATCGTGCATTGAATCTCGAATCAGAACTCTCAAAGGCCTATCAGGATCTCGCATATCACAAAGTTGCGTCGCAGAACGCCGAAAAGTCGCTCTTAACCGCCAACGCCAAACTACGCGAATCAGAACTTGCCGAGCGCGAACTGCAAAGCCATCTCGAGGTCTTGAGCAACCGCCACGACACAGCCAAAGAAGGAAACAGCAAGCTGGAGAAGGAGAAGAAAGCACTGGAGGCCCGAGTAGGCGAGCTGGACACCGAGGTCAGACGGCTCACGGTCCCGACATCCGCCATTCCCAGGAAGGGGCGCGCCAGATCATCTTCGGTATCTAATGGAAATGGTAAGAACAACAACGCATTCGAACAGGAACTCAGCGATACCCGTGCGCTGCTCACTGCCAAGGAGAGCAATCTGCGATCAGCCAGTGACAAGCTAGCGCGTGTCCAAACCGACCTTGTGCAAGCTCAGAATGAACATCTCGCAACGGAGAAGAGGTTCAAGAGGCAGGTTGGCGAGCTTGAGGCGTCTTTAGAGGAGAAGGAGGACGAACTCGCGATGCTTAGGGCGGAGCAAGGAGATGGAGGGCGTGAGCGTGAAGAAGAGCTGATGAAGCGTGTGGAAGAAGACGAGGCAAAGATTTTGGCATTGGAACGGCTCGCTGGCGACGGTCAAAAGATGGCGTCAGTCAGGGCTACATTGGACAGGACGGAGAAGCTGTTGAAGGCGGAAATCAAGAGAGTTGAAGCCGCGGAAAAGAGATGCATGGAAGTTGTGCAAGAGAGGGAAGAAATCCTTGACGAATTAGCAACGGTACAGACAGCTTTGCAAAAGAAGGAGCAAGATATCACGGCTCTTATTAGTCAAGACAAGTGCGCATATATCCACTTCAATCACATTTTTAAGCTGACTTGAATGTCCCAGGAAACTGCAAACGCAACTCATTACATTACAAGCCGAGCTCGCCGCAGCGCGTCACTCCCTCAACTCCGCTGTGCAATCCGACCCTTCGGGCGAATCCACCTCCATGCCACAGCGAATGGATGATGCGCCAGCCGATGCCAATGCTGCAGAGTATCTTGCGACCCTTCTTGGTGCCATCGACCGGTTGCGCGCGGAGAGGGATGGTTTGAGGCGCGACTTGAACTTCTTGGAAGCCGAACACAAGTTTGCCGTTCAATCACTCGACGCGAAATCGCCGGTTGTGGCTGCTCCGTTGGAACGGGCGCATGATGAGCGCCTCGCCGCGATGGTCACGGCCTCCGCGGTCGTTGCTCAGCACATGCAAGCACAGTTCGAGGACACGCATAGCCAATGTGGTATTCTGACAGCTCGCCTGGCAGATGCAACGGCAGCCTACGAGAGCAAGAACAGTGCATCCAAGCATCTGGAAGCCAAGATTGAGGACCTCCAAACAGCTTCCGTCCTTCATTCCGAGCTGGAATCTGAGCTGCAGAAGAAGATCGAGTGTTCTACAGAAGAAGCCAAGCAATCGAAGAGAGATCACCGCGATGCCCAAGAGGCATTGGCGCAAGCCAACGTCCAACTTTCGGACCTGGCCAAGGCTATGGAAATTGTCGAGTCGCAGCGCGACTCCCTCAACGTCCAACTCGCAAACCTCCAGACAGACCTGAGCGAGAAGGAGGGCGAGCTCGGTGCCGCGCAGGCGCGGTACAGCACCCTGCAAGCGCACCAGCTCTCCGCTATGCCATCCACCGACGTTTCACGATCGCTGAGGCAGCAAATCGAGGAGCTCGAGGGCCGCGTTCTGCGGAGAACAGAACTGATTGGGATTCTCCAACATGACGTCAAGAGGCTCGATACGAACTTGCGGTTGCAGGAAGAGCGGCTGGGGGAGATGACGGGTGAGCTGGAGACGCTTGGCGCGCAGAAGGACGCGATGGTGGAGGACTGTGCAGATACTAGAAAAGCTAGAGATGGGGCCATTGAGAGGTGCGAGTGTCTGGAGATGGAGGTCGAAGCCTTGGAAGGAAGACTGGAAGCAGCAGAAGCAGAGAGGTTGCTGGAGGCTTCAACACTGACCGCAACAATTGCTGAGACAATGGGGCAGCTCAAAGCCTCTGCCGATGAGGCCTGTCGTCTTGTGGAAGAGAAACATCAAACGGACCAGCATCTGGCCGCCGCTCGAGCGCGCCTGGTGGATCAAACCGCATTGGCCAGTGCAAACCAAGAAGAGAACGCGATGCTCTGTGAGCGCGTACACACACTCGAAGACGATATTGCCAGACAGCTCGCCACTTCAGGACAGCTGGAGCAGCAGTGCAGCGATCTTCGGACCCAGCTGGATGCCTCTGCAGCGGCCGCTGGCGACAGCTCACAAGTGCATCACGCTCTAGCACTCGTAAAGGCTGAACTCGATGTGAAATCAACGGCGCTGTCCATTTCCAGCGCGGCGAAGGATGAGTTGGCAGATGAACTTCATTCACTGCGTACCCACGCCGAACAGCAGACAACTATTATAAAGCAGCTCGATCAGCAAGTACAGGGACTTCGGGATGAGGCCGAAACGAAGGCAGTCGAGCTGCAAGAGCATGCGGCTCAGACACAACAGGCTATCCTGGCGCTCGCTCTGCTACAGGCTCCACTCAAG